AAATATGTCCTACAGAAGTAAATAAGTATAATTTATGAGATTAGTATAAAAGAAATAGCAAATTCATGCTATATTAGTCAAAGTCAGTTGCAATGCAGCAATGAATCTATCAACAGAGTCCAAGTAAATTATATGGATATATATACATGAGGGCAAAAAATAGTAGTTAAAGTATTATAAAAGAAAAGTATTTGAAGCCAGGCATGGTGGTGGATGCCTGCTATCCCAGCACTCAGAGACTGAGCCAGAAGTATTTCAAGTTTGAGCCCAGTCTGGGCAACTTAGCAATTTAGCAGGACCCTGTCTCAAAATAAAAGCAGGAGACACAGCTTAGTGCAAAGCCACTGAGTTCAATTCCCAGTACTGTGAAAAAAAAAAAGAAAAGAAATCATTTAATGGAGTGAATAAATAGACCCTGTTGATTGAATAGATATTAGGAGTCAGGGGTGCTGGTAGTGACAGTCTCTGAGGTGAGGAATGCAAAAAGGAAGCTTGTGTATGAGTTTTGGTCTAATGGTGAAAGAGAATCATGCAGTATTTAAACAAAGATTAATACATAAAACTAACTACAATAGGGGGTGATCTACTCAAATGAAGAGAGAACATTAAAAGCCCCAGAAATGGCAAATATAGGCAGCAGCCACTGCCTCTCTTGGGCTAAGACAAAGCACCAAAGGAAGCAATTATGACCATTAATCCTGATATATCAACTTCAATTGATTAAGAACCACCTAGCAGATTAATAGAGAATGTGCTAGGTGTGTGTCATGAAGGTGGTGCTTTGGGTACTACATGCACCACTGGCCCCTTTCTCTCTAGTGCCATGAACTAAGCATCTTTGCTCCATTTGCCATTTCAACATCATGGAAACAGCTGGCCTTGGAAACAACTGGCCATGGACTACATTTCCAATGCCATGATCCAAATTAAACCTCTTCTTCTTTAAGTTGTATCTGGTATTATGTTTCAGCAACAGGAAAGCTGACTAATACAGCAACGAACCTGAAATGGGCCCCTATCTCCCACCATTATTGCAAGTCAGAGCAGGACAGACAAAAGCAACCATGGCCCAAAGATGACAGAGCAATTTGCTGAGCTACTGCACCAGCAGAAACCATCAGCATTGTGATACATGGGGTGCTGAGGAAGCCACCCCCCTGGAAGGGGCCCATGATGCTGGATTTACTGGAAAGCTACCCTCCAAGTGCTGAGGAAAACTGCCAGGGGAAGTGGATGGTGTAGCTGCTGGCCATGGGTCAGTCTGTGGAGCCCACTGAAAAGGGGACATGAACAAGGAGGGAAATTCCTTCCTTCTGTTGTGCCCCACATTTGAAAAAGCTTGACACCATGCCAGCTGACAAAGGAGAAATAGTTACAGACCCCAGCTCTAGTATTATAGAACAGGCAAGGAAGAAAAGATTTCAGCTGAGAAGCAGTAAAGTCAAAACTGACATAGTACGTGCAGGAACAATGTGAATTCTATCATGAATGATTTGGATTTGAGGTATCCACATTGAGCTAATGGTTGTTGAAACTTGCAGAACTGTTGGAGCAGGAGATAGAAATTGTTAAAAACTATCAATAGGTAAGTAGAAGACATAGCCTTGTACATAGATGAAAGTGTCCAAGGAAAATGCGTTGTTTGAAAAGAAAGATGCCAAGGACTCAAGGGGAAATGCACATATTAAAAGTAGGCAGGGCCGGGGATCTAGCTCAGTGGTTCCACCACCTGCCTCGCAAGCTAAGGACCCGAGTTCGATCCCCAGTACCAAAAAAAAAAAAAAGTAGGCAGAGGGAAAAGAGCCTACAAAAGAAACCAGTAATTAAATTATAAGAGTTGAATTATAGTAAAAAAAAATGTACAGTGTTGAATGAACCTAAGTTCTACATAAAAGAAAAACTGAAATTTTTCACTTGAGTTGACAATTAAGAGGTAAAGTTAGTGAATGAATTTTCAATATAAGTGTGATAATGAAAGCCAAATTGCAATTGATTGAGGAATGAAATATGAGGCAATAGAGACATAAAACATACTTTATTCTCCAGAGTGGTAAGGAAAAGATAAGGAAGTGTTAAGGGAGAGTTGTTTTGTGTTGGGGTGTGTGTGACAGAGGGAAAGAGAGAAAGATTTGGTAGTAACCCAACACATATAAAGCATTCATTGAATTTTGGAGCTTAAAAGAAACTCATACCACTGGCTCTCAAATGGTGATCTACCCATCAGTAATAACAGAATGGTATGACAAAAGTTCTCTTCTTGAGGATGCCATGAAAGCTAACTTAAAAGACAGGGGAAGCTAGCACCTTCTTCAACCAAATTGGACTCCTGTTTTTCTTATTTGAATGTTCAGGCTCTTTCCATATATTACTCAAAGAAGAGTTCTGCTATAACATCAGTTAAAATCTATGCTTTAGTCCAGCCTGTTCATTTTACAGATGAGGAATATGGAGAATAGAGAGAGCAAGTAACTTGACCAATCTGTGAAGGCTACTCTGTCACTAGCACATAGATGTTGGCTCATTACTAATAATAATCAAATTAACTTATCAATTTTTAAAACAAATATTTATAGCACTTGCTATTTCAATCCAAATAATTTTGACCTAAAACCTCACCCCTCTCCTGGCATGGTGATAGCCTGTCACAGTGTGTGGCTGTGGTGGCATGAAGGATGAAAAGATTACTCCAAGATGAGACTTAGTTCAATCACTTAGAGGGCCAGAGGGGCTCGTCAACAGACAGTGCCCAGAGTTAAGAAGACTCTCAGGAGTAGCACTGGAGCCAATAACTCTCAGGCTTTTATTTAGAATGTCAATGTAAGAGAAAAAAGCAGAAGAAAAGCAGTTTGGGCAAGGAACTGTCTCAAGGCTAGGCAATTTTCCTAGGGAAAGGGGAAGGACAACCACTGCACACAACATGCTTCACTGATCTAAACTTCTTGTTATTTAACCATTTACTCTTCACAGAGACTGCATTCTTCTCCCTTGCAGTTTAACTATTCACTCCTCAGCCAAGTCCCACAGAATATCCTATATCATAATTCAAGTAAAATCAAGAGGTCATGTCTGTGAAACATGTGTTTAACAGAAATGCACTCAGAAATAACTATTCTAATGACTTTTTAGACTCATAAACAAGAAATGTCTCAAGGAATTAACTGTGGTCTTCTGCCACATAAATTTGTCAACTAATCAAGAAAATGAAGTCAAAATTCTTCTTTCAAAGAATAAAAAGTACACAATCTCCCTTGAGAAATAATCCTCAGTGTCTGCTCACTTCTACCACAAGCAAACCAAGGAAACAAAATAAAACCTTCATAGTCTAACTTCAGACTTTAGGGAGGACTATTGCATTTACCTTGGGAAATTTTTGCAAAAATCCAATCCCTTAGTCTAGCCAAGATATCCTGATAGGTTTTGGAGAGATAAGTGAGAAAAGTAGGAAAGGTGCATAAAAGAACAGAAATTAGGAACTTTAAAAATCTCTTCTAGTGGCTATTTTATGATTTTCCAGCAATTATTATTTCCTAATTATTTCATAATTCATAATATATAATTCATAATAATATAATTGTTCATAATAATTCATAATATTTTCATAATTCTCTTATTCTGAAACACAAAGAGAAATTTTGTACATTATTGAGAGGGTTCAAATTATTTGTCTAACTGAACATTAGAATTTATCATGTACAACATAATGTTTTGCTATATACACTATTGTTAGTTATCATGTACTGCTTCACATAGTTACCATTTTTGTGGTAAGAACAATTAACATCCACTCTCTTAGCATTGTCCATGAATATAGTATATCACTTTTAACTATAGTAACCATGGTGTACAATAAATGACTTGAATTTATTCTTCTGAACTGCAATTTTTGTACCTTTTGACCTGCATCTCCTTATCCCCTTCTACCCACCAAACATCCAGCCTTTGGTAATGACTATTCTTTCTGTTTTAATTAGCTCAATTTTTCAGATTCCACACATGAGTGAGATCATGTGGTATTTGTCTTTCTGTGCCTGGCTTCTTTCATTTAACATATTTTCCCAGTTTATCCATGTTGTTGTAAGTGACAGAATTCCATTCTTTTAATAGTATCCTATTGTGTATATATACTACATTTTCTTTATTCATTCATCCACTAAAATTCTTAGGTTGGTTTCTTACGTTGGCTATTTCAAATAATGCTACAATGAACATGGGGGTATATACACCTCTCTGATATACTGATATTATTTCCTTTCATTATGTATCCAATGGTAGAATTACTTGATCATATGGTTATTTTATGTTTAACTCTTTGAAGAGCCTCCATGCTGGTTTCGATTTTAATTTACATTTCCATTGATAGTATACAAGGATTCTTTTTCCTCAACAACTTTACCAACACTTGTCTCTCATATTTTTGATAATAGCTATTCTAACAGAAGTGAAGTGGTATCTTATTCTGCTTTTGACTTGTATTTCCAGAGGTTGTCACTTCACTGTAATGATTAATTCCTTTGCCATAAAATTTTTGATTGGCGCAATCAATCATATTTGTCTGTTTTAGTTTCCATCATCTGTGCTTTTGAGTTTATATATAAAATGTCATTGCTTGGACCAATGTCATGGAGCTTTTTCCCTATGCTTTCTTTTAGTAGTTTTATAGTTTCTGGTCTTACCATTAACCCTTTAATCCACTTTGAGTTGATCTATATCTACTGTGTGAAATAAGGGTTCAATTTCATTCTTCTGCATGTTGATATCCAGTTTTCCTAATGCCATTTATTGAGGAGACTGACCCTTCCCTATTGTTTGATCTTGGCACTTTTGTTGAAAACCAGTTGGTTATATGTGCATGATTTTATTTCTGGGCTCTCTTCTTTTCCATTGGTTATGCATCTGTTTTTATACCACCACCATGTTGTTTTGGTTATAGTAGTTTTGTAGAATACAGATACTCAACTTATGATGATGTTTCATTAGGAGAAAGCCATAAACTGAAAATATCACTAAACCAAAAATGCATTTAATACACCTAACTTACTGAACATCACAGCTTAGCAACAAAGCACACTGTGGATTATTGGTTGTTTAAGCATGGCTGGCTGGTAGCTCCAGTTCACTGTTGTTGCCCAGAAACATGAGAGAGCATCATGGTGCATATTGGTAACCTGGGAAAAGATAAAAATTCAAAATCTGAAGTACAGTTTCTACTAAATATTTATCACTTTTACATCATCATAAAGGCAAAAATATTGTAAGTTGAACCATTATAATTCAGGGACTACCTGCAGTTTGCAGTCAGGTGGTTTCATGCTATTGATAATTATTTACTTATGTGTGCCACTAACTGGTAGAACAATTCAAAACCACATTTATGATTTAAAAAGATAATGAGTTTAAAATTATCTAAGGTTGGTCTGTTCAGAATCCTGGCAGTCTGATTCTAATAAGAAGAGGAGACATTATGAAAGTTTGGAAATATGTGTATTCTAATATACATTGGAATAAAATGTTTAACGGAAACTTGTCTTGGAGGAGGAGTTGTTTTTAACTATTTTGTTTTGTCAAGATCAGTATTTGCTATCCAGTGACACAGAGGCAGAAACACAGCTGCCTAGTGAGATTTCAGAGAACAGCAGAACCTTCAGACATTTCTAGAACCAATACAAACCTGAGAATACTCTGCTAAGTGGGCTTAAACACTGTTGATCATTTTGTTTTTATGTAAATATCTGCTTCTGGACTTGTTGTCCAGGTTTGTGTTCCCAGAGTAAAAACTTCCTTGCTTCTTTCATATCATGCACATCCAACCCAACAACTTTCCTATTAAGCATGGTGCCTATAGCAGAGTAGAAGCAATATAAGCTTGAGGAATATGAGGTCCCAAGAGCAGTCTGGAGAAGAACAAGATGGCATGCTGGGATGAAGATGGTATGTTATGAAAATTCTGTAATAGGAGTCAGTGTGGAGCTAGCAGTCCTTGAGAAAGTATTCACACACTCAAGAAAAAGCATAAGATTATTCATGGAGTTCAGAAACACATTATTAGAAATTTGTGTTTAAATTTTTAATTATTGTTTTTTCATTTTCATTTTCCCTGTATGTTTTACAGTAAACAATACATATTAATGAATTGGTGCACATTAATGCATCACATACATGCTCATACACATAGGAGAGGTACAACTTTTATAAATTGTTACTATTAAAAGACAAACAGAAAAGAATTTGGACACTACTGATCTAGGGCTTAGAATTCTAAATGCTCCCAGACTTCAGTTTTTAATTTCCCAGAGCAACATGATAATAAACCACTTCCACCAAATATCATCTATCACATAAAATTAATGCTTAAGTCCATTGGTATTGGCTTTGTGGACATTTTCACATTAAAATTAATAATAATTGTGATGTCAGAGTTGTATAGGAGCTGTAAGCATAAAGAGTTTATACCTAATGCTATCTTTCTAAATATTTAAATAATATAGTATTTATCAATATTGTTGGTCCATGAATAATTCTTTCCTGCAAAAGAGGTCTAAACTTTTGCTAAATTTGAAAACAATTCTCTAAATCTACACAACACTGACTTGGCCTCGCTAGTTTAAGAGGAAAAATAAAATTGGAATTTCAATGTAAAATTAACAGAAGCAAACATTTTCAAAGGCATGACCTAGAAATTACAAGAGTATGAATTTAAAAAAAAACTGAAGGCATCAAAAATAAAAAGTATGTAGAAATATAAATAAGAATTGGAGTATGTTAGGGACACAACATCCTCTAGAAAAAAGTGAGCAATAACTTTTTAAATCAAAAAATTTCAATTATATACAGATAGCATATATGACATTATGTAAGGTACTGTGCTGGGGATATGTCAAAATGAGAGAATTTGATTACTATTAAGTATATTATTGGAAATCAAATTGACCATCCTATTTGTCCACTAATGAGTTAAATAGAGCTGTGGCAAGCACTCATTTTATATTGACAAGAATAACTTGTTTTAAAATTTAAAAGTCATATTTTAGCAGTTTTTGGAAATTCCACTCATAAAAGAAGGCACAAATAAATTGTGTTGCATGATGAATGCACTTCATCAGCTATTAGGCCCACGTTTAAATGAGTCCAGTGGTTTTCAAAGTTTATTTACCTTCTATTTCTCTGTTTCTTACTTTCTCTTCTCTGCTTAATTCTCTTCTCTGTTTGTTGAATTTCTGTTTGCTTAATCAACCTGAATATGCATTGTTTCCTTTCCTGGGCCTTGAGCAAGTTTGGTTCTGACTCTGGTCTTCTTCCACAATTGGAAGCAGCAATGATTTAGGAATAAAAATGTACTCTCTATTTTGTGACATCTGCCATGTAAAGATCGAGGTTTGTTCTCTGACAAGTGAGAGATGATACTGTTTTTGTTAGTATCTTCTCTGTTGATTATTTGTTTTGTTTCTTGATTGTTTCACTTTTGTAGGATAAAAGAAACTTTTGAGATCTGGGCTTTCCTCTCATCCACAGGTAATATATATTTCTTCTCCATGTTTTTTCATGAAAGTTCTATATATTTGATTTTCTACAGAGAAGAAAGGTCCACAGCATTGGTGAGAAGTATTACAGTATGTGCTTCTACAAACTGATACTTCAATAAATACACTCATGGATACTCAATAAACAGCGTAAAACTGATCTGAACTGAAAGGAAAACCTAATTGTAATTATTTGGGAAATTTTTGGTGTAGTTTTAAATTTTCTAAGGTAAGTGCTCTCTCTTAAATTTGTAAGGTAAGTACTCTCTCTAACCCTTAAATTTGTATGACACTCCTTAAATGATATACAATTCTCACTAACCCCTCAAAATTCATGAACAAATATAGTCTCTTTTCTTTTAAAAGTAATGTAGTTTTTTAATAGAATCAGTGAGAATCTGCCCTCCACTTTATAAGCATATAATTTGACAGATCAGTTATGAAAACAAATTGGTTGAATTCTCTGGGGTTTCATATATAAACTGTCTCATTATTCTGATATAATAAGTCCTATCAGTTATAAATGGTGGGCCATAATTTGTTTGTAGAATTACTGCCTACAAATCCTTCCTAAAAGTTTATATCGTACCTGTTCTATGGGTGAGAGAATTTCTTCAGGTTAGAGGGAAATGTTATCATATGAAACCTAAATTCCCAGGAAGTAATGCAGAGCATAGAAATTTTAAAATATTGGGGTAAAAGACTAAGTATTTCTTCTTATTAATGAGAGGTATGATTGTTTAAGGCAAAAGTTATAGCATTGTCTTATTGGATTTATAGTATATTGAGGTGTAATACACATAACTTTTATATACAACATAGCAGGTGGATGAGAAAGGCAAGTGATCCCATCTAATTTCAGTATTCTGAAAGCAATTAATATTAATTCTAAACAGACTATGAAAGTCTATAATGAATACATAATGAATCACTAGAAAGATCACTGAAAATAAATAATGCAAAAAGGTATGCCTAAAAAGCTACAGCTGTATAGATTTTTTTAAATACTTAAATAACTCAAAAGGGTAGGAAAAGGGTAAGTGTGAACTAAAAAACAGAGGAAAACAAAAAAAATGATCATAATAGGGTAGATGTAAGTCCAATCATATCAATTATTCTACTAGATATTCAGAAATCCAAAAAAGGCAGAATTATCCAGAACGGATGAAAAGAAAAAATAAATACATGCAGACCAACAGATACAAATTTTATGTATAAAGTTGACATTACATGAATGAAAAAATACATAAAAAGCAAAAGTCCCATGTAAGAACATTGGAGTGCCCACATTAGTATTAGATAAGTTAGAATTCAAAGCAAAGAACCTTATCAGAGATAATGAAAAGTAATAAAGGAAGACATAAGATAACAAATATGTATGAATTTCATATCAAACATGAAATACATGAGGCAAAAATTGGCAGATATAAAGGAAGAAATAAATAATTCTACAAAGTTGGAGATACCCACACATCACTCTTACCAACTCATAAAAGACCCAGACACTATCTTAGTAAAGACAAAATCTGTAAAACACCCAAACCAGAGACATAATAGTAACAGAAGCAGCCACAGCAGAATATATATTATTTTCAAGTATGCATGAACATTATGTATTCACCAAAATAGAACACAGGACCATAAAACACATCTCAATAAATTTTAAAAGATCCATATCTTTCAGCGGATATTCTCTGACTATAATAGAATTAAATTAGAAATTCACAACAATGAAAACATAGGTGTTATTTCAATATTTATGAGACTTTAGGCAAAATTTCCTAGAATATAAAGAGCACAAACCATTAAAAAAAAAAAAACCAAGTAAATTTGGCTTCATAAAAATTAAAATTAAAAAATCAATTTTAAAAGCTTTTGCTCATTGAATGACAATAGTATAAAACTAAAAAGATATACACAAGTATAAACACACGAAGTATAATGCTTAGTAGAAGAAGCTAATCAAAGAAAGTGAATATACTATATGATTGGATTCATATAAAAGTCTAGAAAATGCAAATTCTGGAAAAATTCAAATCAATCTGCAGTGCCAAGAAGCAAATCCATAGGTGAAGGATAGATTACAAATGGGTAGAGGAAACAGGGTTCCGAAAATATTTCATATCTGTATTTTTGTCACTGTGCCTAGTTTCCTATCAACTACATTGTCTCACCATAAGAATCTCATGGAGATGATATGAGAAGGCAAAAATCAAAGGACATTTTATTATTGTTGTCTCAGATTGTGCCTGAAACACCAGTGCAGATATTCACACTGATACATATTTGTATAAATGTGAATGATATTGTTGTCAATGCCAACTAATCAGATTGCACATTTTAGACAGGTGCATTTTATTAACTTTAGTTGACCCTCAATTTAGATATTATAAATTATTTAAATAATCCAGAGTTGGGGTTCACTATAAAAAAATTACTAGCCAAGGGTTGATAATTATTGAAGCTGAGGCTAGGCACAGGTGTATTCATTACACAATTATCTTTTACTCTGTATATGCATGAAATGCTGCAAATAAAATATTAGAAAATCTCTATAGAGAGGTTACTAAAAATATAATTTAATCCCTTATGAAATCTACAAAGAGAAGATAACTTTCTAGCCTTCATATTTGCTTAGCTATTTACTC